CGGAGCGTACTTTCTCTCACAAAGACCAACATAGTCTGGCCTTCCCGATCCAACACCTCCAATTGCCCATCCACCACGCGATATTTTTCGCCCATCTCCAACGCTTCGAGGTAGTTTTTGCCCTGTTCCTCATCCTCTGGGGTAAAGTAACCCGCCTCTGTACTGAGCTCGTGGCGAAGGAAGAAACTACCGCTTGTCCCTGCTTCCAGCTTCCCGTACACATAGCTACCATTAGTGGTGTTAGTACCATCGAATGCATGGAATGAATTGTCGTCCAGTTCAAGGGTCAGCTGTGTCCGTGGAAGCGCAGGCTGTTCGTTCAACGAAGAAAGTTGCCACTTCCCGTATGGGTCTTCGTCTGCGCCGCCACAGCCAAGGACTACCAAGCCGAGCAGAGCCAGAGGTATCCACATGTGGGTACTGACCAATGTGCGTACCGACCCCCTATATTCTCTACGTCCCACAGCCATGCAGAATCTCCATTTCTGTAGAGCATACACCCCAAGCAAACGGAACCCCCGAGAGTCTACCCTTGGAGTCCACGAGGCCGTGCGACATATCTGTATACCCCAGAATACAGCGTGATGCAGTGCATCTGTCGGTCCTGATTAAACAGGAGATGGCCTCACCCTGACCCTCTCCCGGAAAGAGCTGGAATTAGTCGCATACCTTCCGCAAGCAAGAGGCGGGCTGTGTCGCCCGCCTCATAAGAATACCTGCCGCTCCGGTTGCCCGGCAACTCCGATGCCGGTGAGCCCCGGGCTTAAAGAGCGATGGCGTAGCAAGCGCGGCGGGGGTCGGCGCCGGTGCTCAGGTGCCCTGTCTCCTGGTCCCGGACGGACACGGTGGCGCCCATGCCGCAGTCGACGGTGCGTGCGATCTGATGTCCCAGCGCCCGCAGGTCCTCGGCGGTCGTCTCGGGAATAGCCTCCTCCAGGTCCGAGCGGCCGGGGTGATAGACGTGGGGGTAGAAGGAGTTGACGTTGCTCATGGTGGAGAAACGCGGCGCCTCGACGGCCTGCTGCGGGTTCATCCCGAACAGGATGACGTTCAGCATCAGCTGGAGATTGGCCTGCGCCTGGTTGTCGCCTCCCGGGCAGCCCACGGTCATCACCGGCTGGCCGTTCCTGCTGATTATGTAATTTATCAGGGTGGTGCGGGGCCGCTTCCCCGGCTCGACGACGTTCGGGTGGCCCTCGTCATTGTTGAACATCTCGATGCGGGTGCTCAGCGCGCAGCCCAGCTCTGTGGAAGAACACAGACTTGGCGAAGGCGCCGCCGCTGATAGTCCCGCAGACCATGTTGCCCTGCTTATCCAGCACCGACACGTGGGTCGTGCCATCCCGCGCCGACGTATCCACCGCAGAGGGGTCGGACGCGGCAGGGACACCGTTGCCTCCGTGGGCGCTGTTGCCGCTCCGCGACTTCCTCGAGTACCGCCATGGGTCTCCGCCATCGGGCTGTGCCGGGTAGGCCTTGGCTGGGTCGATCAGCTTGGCCCTCTCGGCGGCGTACTCCTTGGAAAGCAAGCCGTCGATGGGAATGATCGAGAAGTCGGGGTCGCCGTAGTATGCCTCCCTGTCACCAAAGGCCAGCTTGAGCGCCTCGAGTACCGTGTGGATGTACTGCGGACTGTTGTGTCCCATGGACTTGAGGTCGAAATTCTCCAGCATGTTCAGGGTCTGCATCAGCATCGGGCCCTGCGTCCACGTGTCCTGGCCGTGGATCTCGTAGCCGTGGAAGGTGGTCTTGACCGGCGTCTCGTACTGGGACCTGTACGCGGCCAGGTCGTCGGTGGTCATGATGCCGCCAACGCTGGCGACGGAATGGGCAATCAGCTGGGCAATTGGGCCGTGGTAAAACACTTCCCGCGCCTTCTGCAAGCCCTCGACCCTGGACAGCGCATGGCCGTTTCCCGACCCCGGCAGCATGGCGCGAAGGGTGTTCGCCAACCCCGGCTGGGTTAGCAGGGAGCCGGCCTCAGGGACCTGCCGGCTGTTGTAGAACACATCCCAGCCACCCGGTTCGTAGAGGTCAAACTGCTGTGCCGTTGACGCCGAGTCGAGCCGGTCCAGCATGTATTCGTAGTTGGGGATGCCCTCATCGGCGTAGCTGATTGCCGGGGCCAGCAGCTCGTCGATGGTCTTGGTGCCGTACCGCTCCGCCAGCGAGATGTAGGCATGCACCACGCCGGGCAGAGTGAAGGACAGGTGGGACCGGTCGTGACCCGGGCCGGTCGGTATGCGGTCCAGCCCCTGCTCCTTGTAGAACGAAGGAGTGGCCTTGCCGGGCGCGGTGCCCTGTCCGCTCAGAGAAAGAATTTCGCCGGTCTTGGCGTAGTGGAGCATGAACACGCCCTCGGCGGCCAAGGAGTACGATGCGATGGGCTCCACCACGGCGGCCGCGAATCCTGCGGCCACAATGGCGTCGAATGCGTTCCCGCCGCTCAGCAGCATCTTGGTGCCCGCCATGGACGTCAGGTAATGCCCGCTGGAAATCACGCCCTCGGTGGAACGGATTACCGGCCTGCCCGTCGACTGCTGCGTGATATTTCCCTGTTCGGTGTTAACGCTGGACTGCTGGCTGACCATGTTGTCTCCTGCCATCTTTGAGTTAGGAGTGAGTGACTACTCTGGCCGTTCGTCTTGGACCACGTCGGACGGTCGAGAAATCTTGGAGGCTACTGCACGTCTACCACGGCGTCCCTGCCGGGATACGCCCAGACGCCCTCTCCGTCCACCAGGTGGCCGGGCATGAAGTATTCGCGGGTGTCGGGGCCGCCAAATCCGGGGATGAATGACTGCACCACTCCCTCTGACTCGAGGGCGGCGCGGACAATCTGCTTGTTGAAGTTGCTGATATCCTCGCGGGACAGGAACTCGTCCACCGGCAGCCAGAGGCACTCCTGTATCTCGTCGGCCTGCATCGTGATCTCCCGGCTCAAGGGCCGGAGGCGGCCGACGAAGTAGATGTCGGACTTGCCGTACCGGTAGCCGTGCCAGTGGCGGAAGCAGGCGATGGCCTCGAACTCGGCCCGCACGCCCGTCTCCTCCAGCACCTCGCGCTCCACCGCCTCGGCGAGGTTCTCATTGGGGTGAAGGGCGCCGCCGGGCAGCTTCAGCGTGGGCGGACGCCCCGCTACTCCATACAGCTCCCGCACCACCAGCAGTTCCCGTTCCGGAGTCAACACCACGCCGCCGATTCCGATGTAGTGCGTAGCGTAATGCGGCACCCAAGCACCATCCTGCAGGATGGTGGTGAGCATCAGGTACTCTTCAGAGCTGTGATGAAAGGTGAATCCCTGGTTGACCGCGTCGGGTATCAGGGCCGCCTTGGCAATGGGCACTTCGAGCCATGCGGCTTTTATGCCGTCAGCGGTCCACTGTTTCAACGAAACCTCGAGCCGCTGGGCGAATTCCGTGGCATCGGAGGGTAGCTCGGCAGGCACGATGACCATGCCTCCGAAGGGATTGGCTCTAGCCTCCAATAACTGCTTGCTGGACAACTGAGTCATTGGCGCCTCGCAGACAAAGACGATTAGCGGACATATGCCGAAGGTGCGGCGCCCGCCGTCGCCAATGCTACGGCGGGATTGCGGCGGCGTCAATTCTTATGACAGTAGCTCCTTGCGGATACAGCAGGCAGCAGGGACAATACGATCCAGCAGTATTTTGCAGGCACCAAGAGTCAGCGTGTCCACATCGCATTTCCATCCGATAGTCCAAGAGTGGTTCGAGGGTCGGTTCCAGGGGCCTACTGAGGCGCAAACCCAAGGCTGGGCGGCCGTGGCCGAAGGACGCCACACGCTCATCGCGGCCCCCACCGGATCCGGCAAGACCCTTGCGGCCTTTCTGACGTGCATAGATCGCCTGGTCAGGCAGGGACTCGAAGGCGAGCTGCCGGAGACGACCCAGGTGGTTTACGTGTCGCCGCTGAAGGCCCTCTCCAACGACATCCAGAAAAACCTGGCCGGGCCCCTGGAAGAAATTTCGGCTCTGGCCGCCCGCAAGCACAGGCACGGCCAGCCCTGCCTTGAGCTGTTTCCCGAGGACGAATCACCATTCCCGGAAATCCGCGTGGGCGTCCGCACCGGCGATACCCCCCAGTCCGAACGCCAGAAGATGGCGAAGAAACCCCCCGCACATCCTCATCACCACGCCGGAATCGCTGTACATCCTGCTCACCTCCGCCAGCGGCAGGCGCGGGTTGCAGGGCGTCAACACGGTGATCCTCGACGAGATTCACGCGGTGGCCGACGACAAGCGCGGCTCTCACCTTTCGCTTTCCGTTGAGCGGCTCTGCGCGCTGTCGGAGCAGCCCGTGGTACGCATCGGCCTGTCGGCCACCCAGAGGCCCATCGAGGAGGTCGCCCGCCTGCTCGTGGGCAGCCAGAACATCGACGGCGCTGGAAAGCCGGCTTGCACCATCGTCGACACCGGACACGCCCGCGAGATTGACCTCGCCCTGCAGTTGCCTGAGCAGGAGCTGGGACCCATAGCTTCCCACGAACTCTGGGGCGAGACCCTGGACGCCATCGCCGGCCTTGTAAACGAGCACGAGACAACGCTTGTTTTCGTTAACACCCGCCGCCTCGTCGAACGGGTCTCGCACCAGATGAGCGCCCCGCCTTGGCGAGGAGGCAGTTTGTCGCCCACCACGGCAGCCTCTCCCGCGAAATTCGGCTGGACGCCGAGCAGAAACTCAAAACCGGCGAGGTCAAAGTCTGCGTGGCCACGGCCTCATTGGAACTGGGCATCGATATCGGCGACGTTGATTTGGTCTGCCAGATTGGCTCGCCTCGCTCCATAGGTGTCCTGCTCCAGCGCGTCGGGCGCTCCGGCCACACCGTGGGCGGCAAGCCCAAGGGCCGCCTTTTCCCCCTGACCCGGGACGAGCTGGCCGAATGCGTGGGACTGGCCCGTGCCGTTCGCCGCCGCAATCTCGACACGCTTTCCATCCCGCCATGGCCGACGGATGTCCTGGCGCAGCAGATTGTTGCCTCCTGCGCGCAGGAGGACTGGGCTGAGGATGACCTGTACGATCTGGCAAGGCGCGCTTACCCTTATCGGGACCTGCCCCGGGAAAAGTTCGACCAGGTCATCGAGACGCTCTCTGAGGGCTTCGCCACCCGGCTGGGGCGCGGCTCCGCCTACCTCCACCGCGACGGCGTAAACGCGGTAGTCAAGGGTCGCCGTGGGGCGCCGCTGGCTGCCATGACCAGCGGCGGGGCCATCCCGGAAAACGCCGACTACGACGTGATCGCAGAGCCGGAGGACACCTTCGTCGGCACGGTCAACGAGGACTTTGCCATCGAGAGCCTCAAGGGCGACGTGTTCCTGCTGGGCAACACGGCCTGGAAGATACGCCGCGTCGAAAACGGTCGTGTCAGGGTCGAAGACGCCCACGGGCAACCGCCGACCATCCCTTTCTGGTTGGGAGAGGCGCCGGGACGCACCACTGAACTGTCGGACGAGATCACCGAACTCCGTGAGGGAATTGACCGCCTTCTGCCCGACGCGGGATCAGCCCGCGAGTGGGTGGTCAACGAGTCCGGTGTGGATGGAGAGTCCAGCCGCCAGCTTGTCGCCTATATCGAAGAGGGCAAGCGGGTGCTGGGCGTGACTCCCAGCAAGAACCGCGTGGTCGCCGAGCGGTTCTTCGATGAGAGCGGAGGGATGCAGCTGGTTCTCCACGCGCCCTTCGGAGCCCGGATCAACCGGGCTTGGGGCATGGCCCTGCGCAAAAAAATCTGCCGCTCCTTCGACTTCGAGTTGCAGGCGGTGGCTACCGACGACGGCCTGAATTTCTCCCTAGGCCCGACACTGTCGATGCCGGTGGAGGACGTGTTCAATTACCTCAAGTCCTCGAACTTCGAGGAAGTATTGACGCAGGCAATACTCCAGGCACCAATATTCGGCACCCGGTGGCGATGGAACGCCACCCGCTCGCTCGCCATCCTGCGGCACAACGGCGGAAAGAAGGTGCCGCCGCCGCTCCAGCGCATGCGCTCCGACGACCTGCTGGCCTCGGTCTTCCCGGCCCAGGTCGCCTGCCAGGACAACGCCCCGCCCGGCGACATCGAGATCCCCGATCACCCCCTGGTCTTCGAAACACTGCGCGACTGCCTGACCGAGGCATCAGACCTGGAGGGCTGCCAATCGTTGCTGGCTGGCATCGAGTCCGGCTCCATCGAGGTGTATGGACGAGATACCGTCCAGCCGTCGGTGTTCTCCCACCAGATTTTGAACGCAATGCCCTACGCGTTCCTGGACGACGCACCACTGGAGGAGCGCCGGGCCCGTGCCGTCTCGCTGCGGCGCGCGCTCCCTGATGATGCCAGGGACCTGGCACAGCTCGACCCCGAGGCGATCCGGTTGGAGTCCGAGAATGCCTGGCCTCGTGTCCGGGACGCCGACGAACTGCACGACGCCCTGCTCACCCTGGGCGTGCTGCCCGAGGGAGAGGAAGGGCTGTCCCGACCGGTGATGTCGGGCCTCCCCCTGCGAACGTGGCTGGAGCAGTTGGCCACCGCGGGGAGGGTGCATCGGGTATCCACTGGGAGCGGCCTTGCTGCCTGGGTGGCGGCAGAGCGCCTGGACCTGGTGCGCATGGCCTACGACGGAGTCTCGGTGAACCCTGCGCCACACGTTGGTGTGCCGGTCCCCGGCAACGCCCAAGCCGCGCGGACACGTGAGGACGCGATTCTTGCTCTGGTTCGCGGATGGGCCGATTGCATCGGTCCGTTCACCGCCGCCAACCTGTCATCCACTCTGGCATTGCCACTGGACGACGTCAGGTACGCCTTGGGGCAGCTTGAGAATGAGGGCGTTGTGCTGCGGGGCAGCTACCGGCAGGGCGTCGAGGACGAGGAGTTCTGCGACCGCCGCGTGCTGGCCCGGATACACCGATCCACCATCGATTCGTTGCGAAGCCGGATTGAACCAGTTTCGCCGTCCATCTTCATCCGCTTCCTCCTGGACTGGCAACACGTAATGCCGGAGGCCCGGCTGCAGGGAGAGAGCGGCCTGCTGGCTGTCATCGAGAAATTGCAGGGGTTCGAGGCAGCAGCCAGCACAATCGAAGATGAAATCCTGGGCAACCGGGTCGCCGAGTACAGCGGAGTGATGCTGGACCGGCTCTGCCTCGGCGGCGAGGTGGTGTGGGGACGGTTCTCGGCCCGCCAGAACGCTAGCATAAGCCTGGGGCTGCCCTCTTCGACCAGGGCTGCATTTTCCCGGTTTACGCCCATCAGCCTCGCCTTGAGGGAATCCATCGACTGGCTGGTCCCTGATGATCTCCCCGAGACCGACGGACTGACCGGTGCCCCAGCGGAGGTCCTGGAATTCCTGCAGCGCAGAGGGGCCTCCTTCCCTTCAGACATTGAATCCGCAACCAAACGCCTGCCGTCTGACGTTGAAGAAGCGCTCTGGACGCTGGCGGCGGCCGGTCTGGTAACAGCCGACGGACTCGAGGGCATGCGTCAGCGGCTCCGGGGAACCAAGAGGCCCCGCCGTTCCCAGAGCACCGGTAGAGGAACGCTCCATCGCCGCCGGGGATTCAGCCGGTGGTGGCTGCTGGAACCCGTGGAACCACTGGAGGACTGTACCGAGGTGGTGGCGCGCCAATTGCTGTTGCGATACGGCATCCTGTTCCCCGAACTGCTGCACCGCGATTCCCTGGCCGTCCGCTGGCGCGACTTGGCCCGCGTCCTCCGCAGGCTGGAGGCCAGGGGCGAGATTCGGGGCGGACGGTTCGTCACCGGGTTCGTCGGAGAGCAGTTTGCCCTGCCGGAGGCGGCAGACGCGCTGCGTCGCTGGCGCGACCGGGATCCCGATGACCGCTTGGCGATAGTCTCGGCGGTTGACCCGCTGAACCTGGCAGGAATCCTGACCCCTGGACCTCGCGTGGCCGCCACTCCCGGCAACCGGCTCGCGTTCCGTAACGGCGTGCCCATAGCGGCAATGGAGGGCGGCGAGTTCGTGCCCTTGTCCAACGCCCCTAGCAGTGCGCTGGACAGGGCCATGGCCCTTCTGTCCGTCCCGGTCTCCCACGCCAACTTCCGCCTCGAACAGGAATCGTTGGCCACCGCCTGACTTGCGGACGCCCGGCCCCTGAATCATTCACAGTCAGGCCTCCGGGCAAGGGCTGGTCGTACCTGGCGTATCGGCGACATTCCTCCCTTGCCAAATCTGGAGATTCACAGGTAAAATGTTATTGGAATATATGTTCTTTACACCGAGGATGCCAACTACATGAACGTTGGCCCGGGCTTTGGGACACACCGGCAAATAGCTCTCGAGCGACGATTACAGAACGATGGGACAAAATGGGACGGGAATCAAGAAATTTTTGTCCCACGACATCTGGAGTGCGAATTCTCAGCTTTAAATTCGGCAAATCGTCCGCTGTCAGGCGACCAAAATGGGACAGGATGGAACAAAATGGGACAGCCATGGGACATTTCAGTCCCACTCCGACAGGGTTCCATTTAACGTGGCTTGCCTGACCACGATCAGTCTTATCTCCGAAAGTCTAAGGCTCCCGCTGCAATCAGGGCTGGAATCCCTGCCCCTTGGACGGGGAGCAGAAATGTAGCTCGACCACCTGAAGTGGAACTCTGACGCCCGGACCCTGCAATTGAAAATCAACGTCCTGTGTGCTAACGTGAAAAATCGAAATCCGTAGCAGTGACGGGTCAGAAATTCCGCAGGCGGCCTTAGTGACCAGCATCCGTTTCTCACCCAACCCCAACCAGGCGCACCGCATCGAATGGCTGCCGTGGGCACTTTCCACCTTTGAGCGGGCCCAGGCCGAAGACAAGCCCGTACTGCTCTCCATATCCGCTGCGTGGTGCCACTGGTGCCACGAGATGGACGAGACCACCTATTCGGACCCGGACGTGCAGTCCCTGCTGTCCGGCAGCTTCCTCGCCGTCAGGGTCGACAACGACCACCGGCCCGACATCAACGCCCGCTACAACGTAGGCGGTTGGCCGACCACCGCATTCCTCACCCCACACGGCGGACTGATTGGCGGCGCCACCTTCCTGCCCCCCGATCAGTTTCTCGCCATGCTTGGGGAACTGCAAGAAGCCTACCGGGCAGACAAGCCGCAGCTCTACAGCCAGTCCAGGGACCTGCTGCGCCAGCGCCGCGACCACGCCCGCCGCACTACTGCAGGCGCCGACGTGGAATCCTCCCTGGTGGACAGGGTCTCGAGGGTTGTCGCCGGCTCCTACGATGCCCGGGAGGGCGGATTCGGGAGCGAGCCCAAATTCCCCAACGCGCAGATCCTCCGCTTCGTCATTCACCTATACCGAACTACCAGCGAGGAGTTCTATGCGGCCATGCTGCGTCGAAGCTTGGACGGCATGGCCAACTCTGCCCTTTACGACTCCATAGAGGGCGGCTTTTTCCGCTATAGCTCGGCAGCGGACTGGTCGGAACCGCAACTGGAAAAGATGCTGGACGACAACGTGCAGCTCGCCCGGGCATTTCTGGACGCATCCCTTCTCCTCGAAGAGCCACGATACAGGCTTGTCGCTGAGGAGATTTTCGGGTTTCTGCACCGCTATCTCTACGACGCCGAGAGCGGCGGCTTCCGCGGCAGCCAGGGCGCCCACTCTGATTATTTCGCGCTGGGCATCGAAGCCAGAACCACGTCAGTCGCACCACCGGTCGACCCATATTGCTACTCAGGTCCAGGAGCGCTGGCGGCCGCGTCATTTCTTGACGCTTCGTGGAAGCTGGGGCGCACGGATCTGATCCGCGCTGGGCTGGACATAATCGACCACATCGATGGCAGGGCTGAGACGGGTGGTTTCGGACACATCTATTCCAGCGACGGCCCTGGAGAAGCACCCGCACTTCTAACCGATTGGGCCGGCCTGCTCGTCGGCTTGATGCAAGCGCACGCTACCACTGCCGAGGCACGCTACCTGGATCGCGCGATGCAGGTGGCAGCGGTAATGGTGGACCGCTTCTTCGATGAGGAAGGCGGTGGGTTCTTCGACATCGAGGCCGATCCCGATGCGGTGGGCCATCTCCAGGTCCGGGAGAAGCAGCTGCCGGAAAACATGACCGCTGTCCAGGGTCTTCTCAGGCTGTACCAGTCGACGCGAAACGAGGATTACCGTCAGGTCTGCGAAGCGACCCTCAGCGCTTTTGTCCCGGTCTTTCGTGAACACGGCGAGTTCGCCGCCGAGTTTGGCTTGGCTGTTGACCTGTTCCTAAATCCCATCGTGGAAGTCACCGTCGAAGGCGACCCGGAGTCCAGCGACTGCCGGGCCCTGGTGGAAGCAGCAGCGCGCCTCGACAGTCCTAATCTCGATCTCAAGACCATTGCGGCAGGCGGACCGGCGCTCGCCCATGTGTGCCTCGACACCCTCTGCCTGCCTCCCGTAACCACGCCGGATGCCCTGAGGGAGGCGGCCCGAGGCATCGACAACCAAGCGGCCAGTCCATTCAAGGACATTTTCAGCATATTCCCGGGCTGTTAGCCCGGTCCCCATTACAGCCCGTATTTTTGGAGGCTTTGCTTGCCCGTCTCAGTGCGAATGAAGGGCGCTAACTGCGGTGATTTGCGCCTTGCCGACGCGGATTCCGAGGTCACTCTTGCCGGATGGGTCGGGGCGACGGCGCGACCACGGCGGCATCATATTCCTGGACCTGCGAGACCGGTCCGGCGTGGTGCAGGTGGTCTTCAATCCTGAGCTGGCGCCCGAGGCCACTCACATCGCGGAGGATCTGCGACAGGAATGGGTGGTACAGGTCAAGGGAAAGGTGCAGCAGAGGCCGGAAGGCAGCGAAAACGAAGCTATGCCGACGGGCGACATCGAGGTTATGGCCCAGTCGGTGGAGGTGCTGAACCAGTCTCTTACGCCTCCCTTCTACATAACTGACGATGCAAGCGCCGATGAAAGCCTGCGCTTACGTTACCGTTATCTCGACCTCCGGCGACCATCCATGCAGCAAAACCTCATCCTCCGGCACAGGGTAGTCAAATATATCCGCGATTTTCTGGACGCCCGGGAATTCCTCGAAATCGAGACGCCCATCCTGATCAAGAGCACACCGGAGGGTGCCCGCGACTTCCTGGTGCCCAGCCGCCTGCACCCTGGGACTTTTTACGCATTGCCTCAGTCTCCTCAGCAACTGAAGCAGCTGTTGATGGTCTCGGGCGTGGAACGCTACTTCCAGATAGCCCGGTGTTTCCGGGATGAGGATATGCGGGCGGACCGCCAGCCCGAGTTCACCCAGCTGGACCTCGAAATGAGCTTCGTGGACCAGGAGGATGTGCTGGCACTGACCGAGGAGCTGTATATCGGGATGATCGAGACGGTGGCCCCGCACAAGAAGCTGCGGAAGCCCTTCCCGCGTTTGACCCATGCTGAGGCAATGGCGCGATACGCCTCCGACAAGCCCGACTTGCGCTTCGGACTGGAAATGACCGACGTATCCGCGCTCGCCTCTGAAACCGGCTTCCGGGTATTCCTCTCCACCGTCGAATCTGGAGGATGCATCAAGGGATTCGTCGCTCCCGGCCTGGCCAAGTACACAACCTCACAGGTCAGAGAACTGGACGCCTACGCCCGCGAAGCTGGTGCTGCCGGCCTCGCCCACGTCCGCTACCGCGGCAGCGAGCCGGTGCCGGAGCAGGGCGAGGAAGATATCCTGCAATCCTCGGGCCTGCGAATGCCGGCCGAGTGGCACGGACGGTTGGCGGCAGCCATGGGGGCCGGCCCAGGAGATATGGTCCTGCTGATGGCCGGACCGCCGGACCGCGTCAACGTTTGGCTCAACGCCATGCGGAACCACGTGGCAGAACTGCTGGAACTGGCAGATCCCGACGAGCTGATCTTCGCCTTTGTGACCGACTTCCCACTTTTCGAATGGAACGGGGAAGCGGGTCGCTGGGACTCATCACACCACCCGTTCACATCCCCTGCGGACGGCGAAAACGGACTGCTGGACGGCGACGACCTGGGTGCCATCCGCTCCAAGGCATATGATCTGGTATGCAATGGATCGGAATTGGCCAGTGGCAGCATACGCATCCACAACCGCGAGCTGCAGGAAAAGATCTTCTCCATACTCGGGTACAGCCGCGAAGATGTGGGCGAGCGCTTCCGCCAAATCCTTGAGGCCTTCGAGTACGGAGCGCCGCCCCATGGGGGAATCGCCCCAGGCATTGACCGGCTGGTGGCCATTCTCGCAGGGACGAACTCAATCCGCGACGTCATTGCCTTCCCAAAGACTCAGAGCGGCACCGACCTGCTATTCAACTCGCCGGCAGAGGTGTCGCCTTCACAGCTGAAAGAACTGTCCATCAGCACAAACCCATAGCCGCAACCGACTGCAAGACGCAAAAAGGGCCGGGGCTTGTATAGCCCCGGCCTCATCTGTATCAGACCCTTGCCGATTTGGGAGAAAGAAGCTTAGTCGTCGGCAGTGCCGGCCTTTTCCGGAATAGCACTTGATTCCTTGCCGTTGCGGATGGCGAACCGATCCACGAGATTGCCGATGCTGGTTCGGAATCCGGAGTATTCCAGTTCGCCGTAGGGCAGCATGGCCGCGCCGGACCAGCCCTGGGAACGCATTGCGATTCCCTTTTCCTGGGCAATCTGCCGGACGTAGTCCCAAGCCGGGTTATCAAAGAAATCGGCGGACGAATCGGAGAACTTGCCATCGCGATTCAGAGAGAATCCGACGCAGGACACCAGCGGCAAGCAGTACATGCCAGTAACTGCGGTGTTGATCGGCACTGGCATCAGTGGCATCACGTGGGACCCGCGGGCGTCGCCCCCGATGTAGTGGGCCTTGGTGTAGGGGGAGATCAGTTCCTCGGGAGCAGGGAAAATGCCCTGGTTGCGAACTAGCGCTACAGGGTCGTCCTTCCCGGTATAGGTCCCCGCAATGTTGTGCATTCGGGTAGCGGAAATGGCCGCCGCAGTCTCTCCCGAGTAACGGGAGACGATGCTTTCAATGGCAAACCGCTCATTGTCCCTCAGCAGTACAGTGATCTTGTAATAGTCTTCGGGGGCATTGAGAGAAATCAGACTGTCGCCGTCAGTGTTGTCCATGTCGATAATGTTGAAAGTGAATCCCTCACCTACACGGGGCAGCATCAGGCCGCCGCAGTACATCGGATCGGCAAAGCCCAGAAACATCGGGAGGTTGTAAGCGCCAGGTCCGCACTTGTCGGCGGCCAGCACCATGAAGGATTCCGCGGGGCGAATCGGGTTGGTCTTAACCGGATCATGTTCGAACTCGATCTCTGCCACCGCCGGACCCGCGCCCCTGATGTTTCCGGAGGGGGCGTCTACCAGCAGGTCCTGACCAGCGCCATAGAGGCCGTATTCTGTGGCAATGGCTGTGGCGTTCAGGAAAGAAGTCCAAGCAAACTGGTGAACTTCTGTATCATTCTCACCACGGGTATGGGAAGCAATAATGCAGATGTCGTCGCCGGTGTGGCCCACATAAGCGTCAATGAGCAGGCCTCTTCCGATGGCGGCCGCAACATCTGATCGAACGGAGTCCAACATGCGATCGGACGGCTTGGTATGTCCGCCAATTGATCCTACGTCGGCTTTAAGAATGGATAGAGTGATTTTCATAGTCCTCCTAAGCAGCAACACTGTCGGCTTGACTCTATGCTGCGCATAGACTCTTTTCGTGCCCCGACATTATATCGGATTTGGGTAAGTGGGCAATGCTTACGTGCCAGAGGCAAGGCTCGGGGTAACTACGGTGCAGCCACTCGGCGCCCCGCCAACCCCGAAAAACTTGCCTGACCATTGCCTGAAAAGTCGATTTCTTGTATATTTGAATGTACGTTTGTAGACATCAGGCGGCAATAGCACTCCTTACCGGATCAAGGCAGCCCCGATATGAGGCACTGAGGCTAGTCCGGGACTGCGGAGGCAAGGACTTATCTTCGGACTTGAAACTACTGATCTGCTCCTCGTCTTTCTAGTTCCGTTCGTGGCATTCTGGACGGCGCGACTGGCAGTTGCCAGGGGAAGAAGTCCCTGGATCTGGGGTGGGGCCGCGCTAGTGCTCGGAATCCCTTGGCCTGGAATAAACCTGCCAATTCTTGGCGTCGTTCCAGTCCTCTTTCTGATGTTTTTCGTGCGCCCCACTGAGCAGCGCGCCAATGAACCTCGAAATGCCTGCTCCAAGTGCGCCAGTCCGCACTCTGCGGGGCAGAATTTCTGCACAAAGTGCGGCTGGGATTTGTCCCACGAATTCACTCCTGACACCACAGACACCGTCTTGGCCTCTGAGATGCGCCAATCACAAGCCGCTACCACAGCCACCTTGGAGCGCCCCTCGGAAACCGCCGCCAGCGAACCGGTGACCGCCAATGGCTTTGCTCCCGAGCAATCTCCCGTTCCATCAAGCGAAGAAGAGCCTGTACCGGAGCCGGGGGCACAGGTCGTTGCTGAGGAAGCCGGAGTTGGCGAAACAGCGGCCCAGTCCCCAGGCGCCTCGAATGGCGAAGACGTTAACGAACCTGAGCCCGAGCCTGCGGACAGGCCCTGGGGTATTCCGATCCCTGGACCCGCCCCCACGGCGGAAGTGATGACCGCCAGAGGTGCCGCGCTATTCAGCGAGGGAAAGCTCCAGGAAGCGATAGACCAATTCACCAAGGCAATCGCCCTCGACCCCAGGCATCGGGAGGCTTTCGAGGGTCGTGCCGAGGCCTACAGCAAACAGGGACGGCAGGACAGAGCAGACGAGGACTACCAGAAGATCCAGGCACTCATCGCCGGTACATAGGCGATCGGATTCTCCGGTTCAAAGGAAAGAGGCAGGATTTCAGTCCTGCCTCTTTTTTGTCTCATCCACCGCGGTTCTCTCGTCACACCGCCATGATATGGTACCCCGCATCGACCGGTATGACTGCTCCGGTTATACCGCTGGCCATTCCGCTGCACAGAAACAGCGCCGTATGCGCCACCTCCTCTGCGGTGATGTTGCGTTGTAACGGCGCTTTTTCGGCGTGTGCGTGTCGCATGTCCCTGAAACCTGTGATGCCCCGTGCAGCCAGAGTTTCCAGCGGGCCCGCAGAAATGGCATTGACCCGGATGTTGTCGGGTCCCATTTCGGCCGCAAGCTGACGCACCGCGTGTTCCAGGGCTGCCTTGGCCGATCCCATGACGTTGTATCCCGGATACACACGCTGGGATGCGTCGAAAGTCATCGCGACCACACTTCCGCCACCGGTCATTAGAGGAGCCGCGTGGCGCACCAACGGCAGGAGAGAGTAGGCGCTCACCTCCATCGCTATCCGGAACCCCTCGCGTCCCGTATCCACGAATCTCCCGCTCAGATCCTCCCTGTTCGCAAAGGCGATGCTGTGTATCAGAAAGGAAATATCACCGAACTCTTCGCCAAGTACCTCAAACACCTGCTCGATCTGTTCATCGTCAGTTGCGTCGCACGGGAGAGTGAGAGGGCGCTCCAGCGATTCCGCCAGCCGTTCCACGCGGTCCTTCAGGCGGTCACCCTGGTACGTAAGCGCCAGGCGAGCGCCGGCATCCGACAGCCTTTGCGCAATCGCCCACGCGATACTGCGCTCGTTGGCGACACCAAGCACGATCCCGTTCTTGCCTGATAGGTCAATGGGAACCACTGTTTCCTCCGACGAGGGGATATAGCCTCTCGCTTGCGGAGGCGTAGCATTCAGAAAGAATTCAGGGAGTTTCTCTAGGCGAACTGCGGAGCAATTCTCTCCAGGAAAACGTCGAGCTGACGTTCGGAGTCAAAAGATGCAAGCCGGACTATGACCGTACCCGCACCTGCGTCGGCATAGGCAGCCATCCGGTCGGCTACGTTCTGCACACTGCCAAATGGACCCCACCGGCTACCCCAGATGTTTGCGCCATAGTAGCGCATCAGCCAGTCTTCTGCGTCGGCCTTGGCGGCGTCTTCATCCTCGTTCAGGTTTACCGTCATGTAGAAAACATTTTCCCTGTTGGAGGTGTCCCGGCCGTACTCTTTGGCTTTGGCATCCACTTGGGCGATGATTTCTGCGAATTCGGCGGGTGTATCTGAAATAGCAATAACGCCGTCGCCAACCCTGGCAGCCCGATCAACCTGCGCGGGCTTTCCGGCCCGGTAATGGGTGGCCAGGGAGCCACGGAATGCCTTCCGGTTGAGTGGCAGCAGGCAACATCGTGACTGAATCGAGGCTGAATTGGCGGCCCTCGTGACTGTGGGGGTTGCCGGAACCCAAGCCTTTTGCTATTTCGACGATTTCCTCGAACCTGCGAGCCCGCCGTGTGGCATCAACGCCCGCCGCTGCCCACTCACCACGCTGCTCGTCGTTGAAGGCCCCTCCCACTCCGGCACCGATGACCAATCTGCCGCCGGAGATCAGGTCCACCGTAGCCATGGCCTGGGCAAGCAGGACCGGGTGCCGCAGCGCGGGTAGCAGTACGGCGGTCCCCAGTCTAACCCGGCTGGTACGGGCTGCCAGCGCCCCCAGGGTGGATAGCGGCTCGAGGCGGGGTTTGGCCACCAGGCTGTCACCCACCCAGACGGAATCCAGACCGGCCTCCTCGACTCGCTGGGCCATTCGAAAAACCCGGTCAGCGTCTGCGGGATGGGTCTCCACGCAACAGAATTCCCCTGGTGGGGAGTAGAATGCCAAGTTTTGGTTTATTGTTGCTCATATACACACCGAATTAATGTTTGCCTTCACTAGAACCGGGCTAGAATGATGGTGCATCGCCTCCTGAGTCGGGACGCGCCTGTGGGCTCTGATCGCCCGTCGTCTGCATCAAGCGCTCGATCAGGCCCGGCTCCATGTGCTGATACGACTCCAAGTCATCAACGAGGTCAAGATCCAGTCCCAGGCCTGGACTGTAGGCAATTGCGACCGACGTCTCCAGCTTGGCCGCCTGGGACAGGTGCTTGCTGAAACTCCTGCGTCCCAGTTCAGGCTTGAATCCGATCCCCTGGGGAATCAACATTGCGTTGGTACCCGCATCACGCCGGGCGGGGGCCAGCGTTACATTGCCCGCTCCGCGGGAGGCCTGAATGAAGGAATGAATGTCCGACGGCTTTACGAAGGGCAAGTCACCTGCAATGTAAAGCGCCGACTTTCCTCGCAGGAATGCTTGCTCAAAGGCCTTTCCCAAGGTGTCATTGAGATCGCGCCCCATCTCCTCGAACCACGTACCGCCCAAGTTACGGGCAAGGTTCCTCACCCGTTCGTCGCCACCCACCACCCAGATCGGGTCAATGGAGGCTCCCCGGAGGGCTGCCAACACTCGCCGCAGCATACCTGCGCTGATGTTGGCTCGCTGCTCTGGCGACAGGGTGAGCGCCAGCCGACTCTTGCCCTGAGACAAGGGTTTCATTGGAATAATGGCGATAATGTCGTATTCCCGGTTCGACACGGTCGACATATGCTAGCTCGACCCTCTAGCGCCCGTCGGCATCAATTTGCGTGGCGTCTGACAGCGAAAGAATCGTCTTGGCCAAGTCGATCCTGTCCTGCAACGATTCCATGATCGTTTTCGTTACAACCGGGCGCAAGCCCTGCTCTGCAACCGCCGGGGCCTTCGCTTCATCCTGGCGATCGATCACGAGCACATCGCAGAATTCGCGATACGAGCGGGCGACCCCTGCGACGGATACTTCCTGCCCCAGCCCAGCCATGATCCTGCCAGCTGGCCCTCGCACAGCGTCATTGCCCACAATTGGGCTAACGGCAATGCGCAGCCCCTTGAACTCCGCCAGGACCCTCCTCATACCCCCAACGGCCACAATTGGTTGCACACTGAGGGGAGGGTTGGAAGGGCAGATCACCAACATCTCCGCCCTCGAAAGAGCGTCCAACAAGGCGGGTGATGGACTGGCCTCAGGCGCCCCCACGTATTCAATCGCGGAAACATCGGGCTGAGCACGCCTATGTACGAAATATTCCTGCATCGACAGCTTTCCGTCGGCAGTTTCCAGCACCGTCCTGACAGGCTCATTGCTCATCGGAACGATACTGTGTGCCACTCCGAGGGCAGCGCATAGTTCTGAGGTCACGTCAGAAAGCGTCTTTCCCTCACCCAAAAGCTGTGTTCTGCGGATGTGCGTAGCGAAATCACGCGTCACCCAGGTTGAACCAGGCATCAACACCATAACGGCGCAGCATTGAAAGGGCCCCGAAACTGTCGCCCTGCAGACCCCAACCGGTCTCAGGATTGGAGAGGCCGGCCAGAGTGTACATCATGGTGTCAAGGTCGGGAGACACATGCAGGCCATGGAATAGTTCGTCGTCTCCGGTGTTAACTCCTACGACGAGTTTACCGGGCTGCAGGCACTGGGCCAGCCCGACCACAAGCTTCGCTCCGCCGACGCCTCCCGCCAACGCTACAACTCGCGGAGCGTTCATGGGGTCATCGCGGCTGACAAAGACCCAGGATGTCGACAGGCAAGTACGACAATCAACGAGCGAAACAGCCCCGAATCCAGATGACTAAGCAGCGGTCAGACACCGGCGCTTTGGGCATGACGGGGGTGTTCGAAGCGATAGGTTTCGAGTCTTACCAGTTTGTTATAGGACCCGAAGATCTCTTCCACGTTCTCGCCAACCAGGTCCAGAGGATCGTGCTCCTCATCGGCCTCGCTGAACACGCGACGCAGACCGTAGGTGGTGGAGCGCTCAGCTGGGATCCGTCCGGCAGACCGGATCATCCCCCGGAATTCCGACGGTCGCATGAGCTGACCGTGCTGCGCCCCGGCAGCAGTGGAGAGCTCTCGTTGATCAGTGTACCGCCCAGGTCGTTCACGCCGGCAGTGAGCAGAAGCTGCGACATCCGCGAGCCTTCCTTGACCCACGAAGCCTGAATGTTGGGGATCCAGTTGTTCAGCATGATGCGGGCGATGGCGTGCATCTTGACTACGTCCATCCCAGTCGGCCCGGGCCGGACGTTCGGCAGCAGGTTCTTCAGGAACATTGGCGCTTCGGTGTGCACGAAACTGAGAGGTACAAATTCGGTGATTCCGCCCGTATCCTGCTGGAGTCCACGCAGTAACGCCATGTGATTGGCCAACTGATCAGCAGTCTCACGGTGCCCGAACATGACCGTGGAGGTGGTCGGTATTCCCAGGTCGTGGGCTGTGGTAATGACCTCGACCCACTGGTCGACGGTAATTCGGCCGGGAGATATGCGGTCACGCATTTCCTGGTCAAGTACCTCAGCGGAGGTACCGGGCAGGCTCCCGACACCGGCTGCCTTCAGACCCTCAAGGTACTCACGGATGCTGCAGCGAGAACGTATGGATCCGTACAGCACCTCCTCCGGGGAGAAGCCGTGGATGTGCATGTCGGGCAGCGCTTCCTTTATCGCGGCGCACAGGCGGATATACAGATCGCCTTCCATCTGCGGCGGGAGACCGGCCTGTATGCAGACCTCGGTCGCACCGTAGTCCCAGGCCTCCTGCGCTCGACGAACGATCTCCTCTATCGGGAGGTAGTACCCCTCCTCCTCTCGGAAATCGCGGCTGAAAGCGCAGAACCCGCAGCGCTTTATACAGACGTTGGTAAAGTTGATGTTTCTGTTAACAACGTAGGTGGCTATGTCGCCAACCGTACGGCGACGCAGTTCGTCGGCCACTAGGATCGTTGCGTTGTATTCGGGCCCTGTCGTCCCGAATAAAAGCGTGGCCTCTTCGGCTGTGATGTCCTCTGCGGCGAGGGCCCGGTCCAAGACAACCGCCACTTCAGGCTTCAGCGTCTGCACCAGATCTTTGAGGCTGGCTGCGACGGGCTGCTCAGTTATTCCCGACATATCGCTGGATTCCCCCTTGTACATATCCGTCATTACCGGCCAGGGCGCGGACCTTGGTCAACAGCCCCTCCGGCATGTATTTGCCGGTGGTAAGAAAGTATTCGGGATATACCGGCAGCCTCGGTTTCAGTTCAAACCCCGCGGCCTCTGTTTGTTCCTTGAGGTGTTCCAAGGCAGGCCACGGCGCTTCCGGGTTTACGAAATCTATAGTCAGAGGAGATACACCGCCCCAGTCGTTGATTCCTGCATCGAGATATATCTGGTAATTGTCGGCGCTGAGGTTGGGTGGCACCTGCACATTGGCGTCCGGACCAAGAATCAGCCTAGCCGCAGCCACAGACCAGAGCAGTTCAATGGTGTCTGCGTCCAGTCTGTCCGACATTGCGGTTCCGGGCTTGGCCCGAAAATTCTGTACTATTACTTCCTGAACGTGCTCGAAACGACGGTGCAGGTCCCTGATTGCCAGCAGCGACTCGATGCGATCTTCCCTAGTGTCCCCTATACCGATGAGGATACCAGTAGTGAATGGGAGCCGCAACTCGCCCGCCAGTTCGATGGTGCGCAGCCTGACCCGTGGCCGCTTGCTCGGAGCGAACTCATGGGCGCCACCCGGCCCATAAAGCACGGCCGATGTGCTCTCCAGCATCAAGCCCATCGAGGGGTTATAGGGCTGAAGCGCGGCCATCTCGCGGCGACTCATCGTGCCTGGATTGGCATGTGGCAGAAGCGTGGTTTCCTCGAGAACCAGGCGGTTGACGTAGGTCAGGTATTCAAGAGTCGACTTGAACCCCCGGTGCTCGAGCCACTCCTTTGCCTCTGGGTATCGCTGCTCTGGCCGCTCCCCCAGGGTGAACAGGGCCTCGGTGCACCCCAGTTTTTGTCCGGCCTTCGCCACATCCAGCACCTGCTCGGGTGTCATATACAGCGTGTCGCCAGCCTGTTCGGGAGTCTTGCGGAAGATGCAGTAACCGCAGAAATCCCTACACATGTGCGTCAGCGGAATGAACACCTTGGGAGAGAAGGAGACGGTGCGTCCTTTTCCTCCATCCCGCATCGCTCCCGAGGCTTCGACCATTGCAGTCAGGGTCTGCTCGCTGGCACTGACCAGGGACCAGGCTTCTTCGTCTGTCAGAGCGCGACCCGATGCTGCCTCAGCCAAAGCGGTGGGGAGGGAGACTTCCGTCGAGGAAACAGTCAATTCAACTCCGAGAGGCGTTCATGCGTGGGGCCGTTGGTTCGGCATATTGTAGACGCGTGTATAACCGCATTCAACAAGAACGGCTGTTGGAATGGGGCAACCTGCAGCCCATAGGTCAAACCGGCCTAAAAGCCCTCCAGTTTGGGCTGGTCGCTATGGGGTAGCGCGAAAAATGGTCTGCCCAGGTGCTCGTGCGCCAGGCGAGTTGCCACCCTTCCTCGGGGTGTGCGGTCAAGGAAACCCAGCTGCAGCAGGAATGGTTCCCACACGTCCATGATCGTATCGGAGTCCTCGTTGAGTGCGGCCGCCAGCGTCTCCAGGCCAACGGGGCCTCCGTCGAACTTGTCGATAATCGTTATAAGCAGGCGATGATCGGATTGGTCCAATCCGAGGGGGTCGACGTTAAGTTGTTCCAGCGCGGCCCTGGCTACCGCGCCGGTTATGGAGTTGTCAGCCTTCACCAGTGCGTAGTCGCGGGTGCGCTTCAGCAGCCTGTTAGCCACTCGGGGTGTTCCTCGCGAGCGGCCAGCGATTTCAGCCACTCCATCAACATCATGGTCCGTCTCCAGGATGCGTGCTGAACGCTCAACGATGATGTTCATTTCGTCGACGTCGTAGTACTCCAATCTCCACACTGAGCCGAACCTGTCACGAAGGGGAGCGCTGACCATGGAAAATCTAGTGGTGGCCCCCACAAGGGTGAAGGGGTTGATCCTGAGATTCACACTGCGGGCCGCTAGCCCCTTGCCAACCATCCACGACAGAAAAAAGTCCTCCATTGCCGAATACAGTACTTCCTCGACAACGCGGTTCAGGCGATGAATTTCGTCGATGAAAAGAACCTCGTTGGGCTGGAGGCTGGTCAGTATGGCAGCCATGTCGCCAGCGCGCTCAATGGCGGGGCCGGACGTCACCCGAATCGGAACGCCCATTTCCGCAGCGATGATGTGAGAGAGGGTGGTCTTACCCAACCCGGGAGGGCCATAGATGATGGAGTGATCCAGCGGCTCTTCGCGTATCTTGGCCGCATCAATAGCTATCTGGAGGGTCTGCTTGGTGTGCGACTGGCCGACGAATTCATCGATGCGTCGAGGGCGCAATGAGACATCGGCGTCTTCCTGGAGTTCGCCTCCGGCTACCAACCGCTCGGTCATCTTGCTTCCCCTCAGCCCTTCCTGCCAGCCCATCGACGAATCGAAAGGGCCAGCGAATCACTCCTCGAACTTGCGGAATACCAGGCAGGCGTTCTGCCCGCCGAAACCGAAGGCGTTGGACAAGACGACCTTCGCGTCCAGTTCCCGCGACTCATTGGGAACGTAGTCCAGGTCGCAACTGGGGTCTGGCGTAGTGTAATTGATCGTGGGATGCACCTTCCCTTCCGTGATGGTCTTGATGCAGGCAGCCGCCTCCAGCGCCCCGGCCGCCCCCAGTGCATGACCGATCATTGATTTGGTCGAACTGACTGGTATCTGGTAGGCCCTGTCTCCAAACGATCGCTTGATTGCCACCGTTTCCAGGGTGTCGTTCAAAGGTGTTGAGGTGCCGTGGGCGTTTATGTAATCAACATCCTCCAGGGACAGGCCGGCATCCGCCACGGCAAACTCCATGGCACGGGCCGCACTGGCTCCCGTTTCCTCGGGCTGAACCGGGTGACCTGCATCGCTGGTGCTGCCGAAACCAACCACCTCGGCCAGTATCGTTGCTCCGCGGTCCAGCGCGTGCTCCAGTCGCTCCAGCACAAGCACCACGGCCCCTTCGGAAGGAACGAACCCGTCGCGACCGGAATCGAACGGGCGACTGGCGAGCTCGGGAATGTCGTTCTGGGTGGTCAGTGCCCGCATAACAGCGAACCCTGATAGCCCCAGCAAGCTGATTCCCGCCTCGGCCCCACCAGCAAAAACAACGTCGGCAGCGCCCCGCCGTATCACCTCCATGGCCTCACCGATGGCCTGGTTTGACGCGGCGCAGGCGGTGGTTGCAGTGGAGTTGTAACCGTGGGCACCGAGATAGCGGCTGACGGCAGCGGCAGCCATGTTCGGAAGGATCATCGGAAAGAAGAAGGGAGACATTCGCATGCCGCCCCGGTCGGCCAGGATGCGGCAGTTCTCTTCAAGGGTCGGGAAGCCACCATTACCGTTACCCAAGATCACTCCCACCCGGTACGGGTCACCATTAGAAACGTCAATGCCGGAAGCCTCCACGGCCTGCAGACCCGCGGCCACGGCCAGCTGCGAAAAACGAGCCATCCTCCTCGCTTCCCGGCCGGAGATGTATTTCTCAGGGTCAAATCCGGACACTTCTCCCGAAACTCGACAGGGATACCCCGTGGGATCGCAGAGAGTCATCGGCCCAACTCCCGACTGTCCTGCAACTAGGTTGGCCCAAAACTCTTCAGGAGATTCACCCAGCGGAGTCATTGCTCCCATGCCGGTCACGACCACCCTGGCCCGCTGATAACCCATCGTCAGCCCCGCTAGTCCGCCTTCTTGGCCAAGGTCGGATAAATTTCCGGCTCTATGCCGAGGGCGGCCTCCCTCACCTCTGCTGCGAGGAACAGCGACCCCGTAGCCAGCACCAGGCCATTGGGGCCCGCGGCGTCCCTGGCATGTTCGAGTGCTTCACTCGGAGTTGCCGCAACTTCAGCCCTGGCGCCTTTCCCCTGCAGCATGTCGTTGAGTTCCCCAGCCACGAGAGCCCTCGGATGGCGGGCCTGGGTGGCAACGACGAAGTCGGCTGCGGGGACTATCGAGCTCACCATCGCATCTACGTTCTTGTCTCGTGAAAAGCCGGCCACTACAACCAGACGGTCATAATCGAAATAGTGGGGCAGTGACTCAAGCAGCCGGTCTACAGAGTAGTCGTTGTGGGCGCCGTCAGCGATGACCAGGGGATCGCGCCCCAGAATCTCCATTCGGCAAGGCCAGGACACATTCGCGAATCCCTTGGCTAGGGTTTCAGCGAGCATCTCGAACCCTTGGGCACGGCACATCGCCTCGACCGCCACCACGGCAGTGGCGGCATTCTCCATCTGGTAGTCCCCCAGCAGCGGAATGTCCAGATCGTATGACCCCAGCAGGCCGTGAACCGTGAGCTGCTGGCTGACCGCTTTGGTTCCCTTCGGTTCCCAGGCGACGTCCCGGCCGATCAATATCGGCTCAACACCCACCCGGTTGCAGGCTTCCAGGATGGAGGCAAGGGCCTCGGCCCTCTGCGGCGCGATCACCGGCGTGGATCCCGCCTTGATAATACCCGCCTTGTCTGCGGCAATCTCACCAATTGTGTCACCAAGAATTTTGGCGTGGTCCATGCTCACGGACGTTATGACGCACACTTGAGCATCAACGACATTGGTAGCGTCCAGCCTTCCGCCTAGCCCCACCTCTATCGTCTGCACGTCTGCGTTTGCCTGGGCAAAACACTGGAATGCCATTCCCGTCAGGAACTCGAACAAAGTCACGGTGTCCTGACTGTTAACATTGCGCATCGGCCAGAGGTCTCCGACCAGTCCAGCGAATTCGTCCTCGGAGACAGGCTGGCAGTCCCTGCGCAGTCGTTCCCGGAAAGTGTGAAGATGCGGCGACGAGTAAAATCCCGTCGAAAGGCCTGCGGCTTGGAATGCCGCATCGCACATTGAAGCAGTGCTTCCCTTCCCTTTTGTGCCCGCAATGTGAACGGTGGGGACCATCCTGTGTGGGTTCCCCATTCGCTCCAGGAACCCCACCATCCTGCCCAGATCATAGATGACCTTCTGACGCGGACCATCGACCCGGGCTCTCTCCGAGTCGAATAGGGAGAGCACGTTTGCTATTGCCTCAGGATATTGCAAACCACACCTCCCGATTCGCCACAACAACTACAGACAGCCTCGTACATCAAACGCGATTCATCCACGTCGAGGCATTCCCAAGCCTACGGTCATGCGGAAAGCATCACCGAAACTCACGTCGTTCACATAATTAATGTTACCCCTCAACGCTTTGGGGGTAAACCCGAATGCCTCCTCGATGTCCCGGCTCACCGACACATTCCGGATCCCCAGCATTCGCAACTGTCCTGTCGTTACCGGCGGTCTGGGCGTCAGGCTCTGCATCAGGGCAACTGCTGGCCATGCCAGGGGTGTGGGTATATGGAATCGGCGGATGCCCCTGCCCATTGCGAGCGCTACCTCGTCCAGAAGATCGTTGTAACTGAGCCGATGCGGCCCTGCGACGTTCAGCGTCTTTCCCTTGACCAGGGAGTTGCCGACCGAGGACGCAACACACTGCGCGACGTCCTCCACCGCGACAGGCTGCATTCGATTCTTGCCGCTGCCTATCACGGGCACAATCGGCCCCAGCCGCACCAGCCCCGCCAGAGCTGTCATGAACTCGTCCCCTGGCCCGAAGATTACCGAGGGCCGCAGTATCGTGTAGCTCAGCCCCGAACTGGTAACCCTTAGTTCCGCTTGGTGCTTTGAGTACAGGTAGGGATACGCGGCGTTTGCGGTCGCCCCAAGGGCGCTGACGTAAATCAACTCGCGGATGCCTGCAGCAGTGGTCGCCTCAACCACGTTTGCTGTGCCCTGCCGATGCATCCGGTCGAAAGTGGCTCCCCGGCTGGGCCGGATGATCCCCACCAGGTGCACCACCGCCTGCACGCCGTACATGGCCTGGCCAATGGACTCCGGGTCGAGAACACTTCCGTAGTGAACATCGACGTTGAACTGGTCCAGCAGCCGCTCCTTGCCCGGCGAATGCACCAGGCATCGAACGTCATGGTGATGCGCCAGGAGTTCAGCAACCACCCTGCGTCCCAGAAATCCAGTAGCCCCGGTAACCAGAACCAGCACGCCCCGGGCCCTCCTCTCGATTCTGCTGGGACAGTGAATCCATTCCCGGATCGTTAATCCCCGCTGAATCCCTTGAATCCCTTGAATCCCTTGAATCCCTTGAATCCCTTGAATCCTTGAATCCCTTGAATCCTTGAATCCCTTGAATCCCTTGAATCCCTTGAATCCAGATTCCGGCATGGCCATGCCGTTGTCAAGGAGCGAACGTCACTGGGGATTGCGGAGCGTTGGAAGCAGGCAGCATGTGGGTTAACATTACACAGTATTTTCCACGGCAAACTTGAGGGAAGGAGAACAGGGCAGCCTATGGGTTTTGATGACCTGCATTTCGGTGCGAACCTGACACTGGAAGTCGAAGAGACCGCGCGTCAGGCAAAGTGGATGGAACAGCACGGTTTTGAGTACATATCCGCCGGCGAGCACTTCATGCGAGGCGATCCCCCAGGTCCGTCCCACGCTTCGCTGCCTGTGCTGGCTGTTGCGGCTGGAGCCACGACCTCCTTGCGGGTTCTGTCCTCCATAGTGCTGATCCCCTTTTACCATCCGCTCATGTTGGCCCGAATGACTGCCACGTTGGACGCTGCCTCGAACGGCCGGCTGACCTTGGGCGTAGGCATTGGAGGCGAATACCCGGCAGAATTCGAAAACTCGGGCCTGCAGGTGAATCAACGCGGCAGGCGCACCGACGAGTGCCTGGAGGTTATGACCCGTTTGTGGAAGGGCGAAAGCGTGTCCTTCTCGGGCCGGCATTTTCAGCTGGACGGAGCGATGATCAACCCGCTGCCCTCGCAGAAGCCCCATCCCCCATTGTGGGTGTCTGGGCGCCGGGATCCCGCGATGCAGCGGGCGGCCAGGTTTGGTAACGGGTGGGTGCCCTACTTCTTTGACCCGCCACGGTACAGGGACAGTGTCGAAAAGATTCACACGTTCGCCGGGGAAGAAGGTCGGAGCCTGACGGATTTCGACTGGGCGTTTTCCCCTTATATATCTCTGTATCCAACGGAGCAGGAGGCCGCCGAGGTGGCGGCCCGGCAACTTGGCGGCCAATATCTGTACGGCGGGGAGTTCATCAATATCGTGCGCAGGTATTGCTTGCTGGGGACCCCGGAACAATGTGCTGAACGCCTCAATGAATACATCGAAGCCGGCGCTCGCCACATTGTCTTCAGCATAACCTGCCCTCCGGAGGACCGGGAACGACACCTGGACGAGATCGCCGGGAAGCTGATCCCGATGTTTCGATGAAATTCCAGGCCACGTCTTATGGCATCTTAATGATATCTTGTATAATGCGGTATAGTATTATGAGCCGAATGCGGCTTGTGAGATACCGGCAGGCAACAGCGCGACTCTTGGCATCGGCCCGGTCTGACTCTCATGTCGGATGAAGGGCCGGCGCCACCGCCTGGACAGGCGAAAACCGAACGGTACTAGGGAGGCAAAAATGTCTCGCATAAAACGGGTAATGCTGCTCCAACCGGCGTCAGCCGGAGGCAATTTTGAATACGTGGCCATTCCTAGGCAGGGGATGCTCTACCTTTCCGCGGCCTTGGCCCAGTGGGAAGGTCCCTTTGTTTACGATCGGGAGATTTGGTTTGAGGACCGTTCCGGCCTGATGGATCCTGAAAAGGATCTGGAAGGCGTCGACATCCTCATGCTTACAGCCTTGATCAATGAGGCCCCGCGGGCTTACCAGGTGGCGCGACAGGCCAAGGAATTCCATCCCGACCTCATCACCATTGGCGGCGGCCCACAGATGAGCCCGTTGCCCGAGGAAGCTTTCGACTATGGTAATTTCGATGTCATAGTTCAGCGCGAGGGCGAGGATATAATCGGCCAGCTGTGCGATGTCCTCCTCGAACATCGCGGGCCCGGTCGAAACCAGTACCTGTCTAAAGTTCCCGGCATCAGCTATCGGGAAGAAGGGAAGGTGGCTTATACGAAGAGGGTGGGTCTGGTAAGTCCCGACTTCGTTGAGCTCCCCGACTTCCGCTCCATCAAGGATCTCTCGCCCGAAAACCCGATGGCCGGCGGCGTGATGGAAAGCATCCGGGGTTGCACTGAAAAGTGCACTTATTGCCAGGTCATCCAGCAGTTCCTGGGCTACCGCCTGGTATCTCGGGAAACCGAATTCAAGCGGCTGGAGCAACTGCACGAACTGGCAGCCGACGGGTTGATTCACACTTCCCGCAACGGTTCGTTCCAGGTTTTCATTTCCGATGACTTGCACACTCCACCCCTCCGCGCCGTCAAGTTCCGGAACGAGCGGCTGGAACGGCTCCAGGGCTGGAGGGGTCGAACTGACGACATGAACCTGATTATCCAGGCCCGCGCCGAGATCGGCCAGGACCCTGAGTTGGCCAACGCCCTCCAGGAAGCCAACGTCAAGATGCTCTATCTGGGCGTCGAGTCGGACAACGCCGAGAACCTGAAAGCGGTCAACAAGCGGCAGGAACCCGGTCAGATGCATCGGGACCTGAAATACATCAATGAGCAGGGCTTCACTGTGGTCGCTATGACCATAATCGGCCTGCCCTACGACACCGAGCAGAGCGTCATGGAGCTGGCCGACTGGGTCACGACGGTTAGCCGCTACCAAACCGCCAACTTCTTGACCCCGCTGCCGGCCACGTCAAACTGGACCGACCTCAAGCCCCTGAATGAAAACGGGGAGCTGCTGCAGGAAGGCGAAATGCGCCCCTACCAGCTCTACACGGGCCGCCAGTTCGTTCACCACGATGAGCGCTGGTCAATGCAGGAGAGCCGCGAAATCTTCGACAAGTACACTTCAAAATTGCAAGAAGTGGACGACGTCTACCGCCGCGTGTTCCGAATTCTGCGCACATACAAGCTCCGTCTGGCAGCCACCAGCAGCGACCTGAGCAACACCCTGACGGCACGCCTCGGCGAGGCCACGGAAACCCTCCATGACCTGTCCGACCCGGTGATTCTCTCTGGCCGGGAATTCGGCGAGAACATTTCCGGACGGGTGGGAGAGTTGGTGGAAACTCTGCGATCAGTATCCCAGCCCCTGTCGAACGTCCGCCGCGACGCCGCCGACAGCATCGGCTCAAAGCTCAATGAGCTGACTGACTCCTTGAAGACGCTGACCGACCCCAGCGTGGCCAGCGGGAAAGAAGTCGCAGCTAATATTTCCCGGCGCATCACCGAAGTTACCGACGCCATCGACGCTGCCCTTTCAGAGCAGCGCAGCGGAGGTAACAAAACGGCTGACCAGAGCTGAAGAAACAGGCTCCGATCTTTTCTGTAACCTTCTTGGCCGCCGTTAACGGCGGCCAGTAAATTGAGTCGCCACTACCCAGCGGTATAACGCTGGTTCAGGGGTTGCGGCCCATTGCATAGACATCAGGGATTGTGGATGGGATGACAGGACTTCACCGTGTCTTTATCACCGGCGTCGGCGTCATCAGCCCCTTGGGTCTTGATCTTGCCTCGACTTGGGAGGGCATAACCCAGGGGCGCTCCGGGGTTGACTTTCTTACCTCCTTCGACACGGAAGGATTCGACACTCGTTTTGGTGCCGAGGTCAAGGGATTCGATCCGGAAGAGTATCTTGACCGTAAAGACGCCCGTCGCATGGACCGTTTCGCCCAGTTCGCGGCCGTCGCGGCCCAGCAGGCCTGCCAGCAGGCAAACCTTTCTCCGAAAGGAGAGGACCCCTACCGCGTGGCCGTGATTATCGGCAGCGGCATCGGCGGTATCTCCACCCTTTCCCAGCAATTCACCGTCCTGAGTGAGCGTGGCCCAAGGCGAGTCAGCCCATTCCTGATACCGATGATGCTGGGTGATATGGCTTCTGCCCAGGTCTCCATGATCACCGGTTCAATGGGCGCCAACTATTGCCTGGTATCGTCCTGCTCCAGCGGGGCAGACGCCATGGGCCAGGCATGGGATATGGTGAGGACCGGAAGGGAGGACATCGTACTCGCCGGCGGCACTGAGGCGCCGCTAGTCCCAGTGTCGGTCGCCGGATTCAATGCCCTGCGCGCCCTTTCCCGGAGAAACGAAAGCCCGGCGCAAGCGAGCAGGCCCTTTGATAAATCCAGAGATGGCTTCGTCATGGGCGAGGGGTCAGCTGTCTTCGTAATGGAAAGCGAGGAAAGTGCTGCTCGCCGGAATGTAGAGCCGCTGGCCGAGCTCAGAGGCTACGCCGCAACCTCCGACGCTCATCACCTGACCGAGCCCTCCGCCACAGGCGAGAGCGCCGCCCGCGCCATGGTGATGGCGCTGGCCGAGGCAGGCATAGACTCCTCTGAGGTCGGCTACATCAACGCCCACGGGACCTCCACTCCTCTCAATGACAAGCACGAGACCAAGGCAATCAAGGTTGCCTTGGGTGAAGACGCCTACCGCGTGCCGATCAGCTCCAGCAAGTCAATGACCGGTCACCTGCTGGGTGCGGGTGGTGCGTTAGAAGCCGCCATCTGCGTGATGGCCATGAGGGACGGCCTCATACCGCCCACAATCAACCTCGACGAACCTGACCCGGAATGCGACCTCAACTACACCCCCAACGCGGCCCTCAAACTGGAACTCGACGTCGCAATGAGCAATTCATTCGGGTTCGGCGGACACAATTCGGTGCTGGTATTCAGCAAGCCACGCCAGGGTCGGCAGGAGTGAGCAAGGGTAAAGCGGCTCCACGCTGGCACATACCACCTGATCCAGACGTTTCCGGCCTTTCCGCCCAGGTGCCGGGACCGGTCGGAAGGGTTCTGGCCTCTCGCGGCCTGGATACCAGCGCCAAGCTGGACCGGTTCCTTAACCTCTCCCATCTCCCTCACGACCCTGCATTATTGCCCGGGATGGACAGGGCGATCCCGAGGTTAAGATCCGCCGTCGAAACTGGGGAGATCGTCGGTGTATTCGGCGACTTCGACGTCGATGGAATCACCGGCACCGCAATTATGTCAGAGGGGCTTGAGTCCCTCGGCGCCCGTCCCATCCCGTACATTCCCCAGCGGGGGGAGGAGGGGCATGGCCTGTCCAGTGGAGCTATTGATTACCTGAAAGCTGCCGGCGCAACTCTCATTGTCACCGTTGACTGCGGAATTACCGACGCTGACGAAGTCGCCTATGCCTCCGACCTCGGCGTCGACTTCGTCATAACTGACCACCATGTCCCCTCGCGGGGTTTGCCCAAGGCAGTGGCTTGCGTAAACGCCAAATTGCCGGGCAGCAAATATCCCTTCGCTGAACTCTGTGGCGCAGGTCTGGCGCTGAAGGTCATCCACGGGCTGCATCAATCGTGGCAGGTGCCATTCGACCCGGCGCTGTTTGAACTCGCCTCCCTGGGCAGCGTGGCCGACCTAGTACCCCTCTTTGACGAGAACAGGTACCTGGTAACAGAGGGACTGGTGCGGCTGAAGAAAACGGGGCGCCCCGGTTTGCTCGCTCTCTTCGAAGCGGCCCGGCTGTCCTCCGAAGGAATCAACTCGGAGTCCATTGCCTTCCAGATTGCCCCACGCCTGAATGCCGCCGGTCGCATGGGGGACCCGGCTGATAGCTACAGGCTGTTGACCACCCGCTCCACATCGGAGGCATTGGAACTTTCGCAAAAGCTGGAGTCCCTGAATCAGCAGCGTCGAACTGCCACTGAAGAGGCGGCCGTATTGGCCGTGGCCAAAGTGGAGGCCATGCCCACGCTGCCATACCTGTTGGTGGTGGCCGACGAGGCCTTCCCCCAGGGTGTCGCCGGCCTCGCGGCCTCCCGGCTGGTAGAGCGGTTCAGGCGCCCCGCTGCGGTGTTGTCGATCCGCGATGGGATGGCGGTCGCGTCGGCGCGAAGTATCCCGGAATTCGATCTGATCGAAGCCATTTCTTCTACATCTGATCTACTGGTCAAGTACGGCGGCCACTCTCAAGCCGCGGGATTCACGGTTCAAACCAGTGACATCGGGCAAGTTACAGAGCGCCTGGAAGCCTACGCTGACGAGCGTCTCAGTTCCATGGACCTCGCCCCGGCACTGGAAATCGACGCTGTGGCGTCCCTTCCAGAATTGACGATGGAAGCCTTCGAATGGCTACAGACACTGGAACCTTTCGGGAAAGGCAACCGGCGCCCAGTGTTTGCCTCTCTGGGTGTTTCGGTCAAAGAGGCACGGCTGGTCGGCCACTCGCAGCAGCACCTGCGGCTTCGATTGGAGCAGTCCGGTCGGGAAATAACTGCCCTCGCCTTCAATCAGGCATCCGATTGGACAGCGTTGGGATACGCAACGTCTGGCGCTCGCCTCGACTGCGCCTACACCCTGATGCTTGATTCCTGGCAGGGCCAGAACTCGCTGGCCCTGCGGGTTTCGCGCTTTTCGATTGACCCAGTCCTGATCTCCTGGGGCTCCAGGTCGAGATCAACTACGTTCCCTGTGTGCTTCGCCGCCTGTCGGCACGGGTTCCTCCGCCGGGACGCACCACCTGCGCCTTCCAGATCAAGAGCGGCACGGTGATGATTATCACAATCAGCGCGACCACCTGCGCCTCGTTCAACCCACCGAAATAGACGTTGTATTCCTCCCGCATGAAGCTGATGAAGAATCGGCCTATTGAATAGGTGGCGGCATAGAGGGCAAAGAACATTCCATTGGGGCGCAGGCGTTTGCGAAGCGGCCAGAGGGCAGCCAGCAAGACCAGGTCAAACAACAGCTCGTAGGCGACGGCGGGATGAGTTGCCGGCCGGCCAAATCCGGGACTGTCCGGGTGAGTGTACACCAACCCCCACGGCAGGCTCGTCACCTGGGAAAAGTGCTCACCGTTGATAACGTCCCCTATGCGGCCGATCGCCATGGCCACCAGCAGTGCCGGCGCCGTTACGTCGGCCAGATGGCCGATGCTGGGCAGGTCAGCCTTCTGGGGCTGGCCGAACAAAGGAGAGAAAGGGCGCCACACGGCAAGAAACCAGTTGGAATTGCGTATCATCAGGTACAGGGAACCGCCTACAAAGCCGCCGGATATGGCGCCGAATATGGCGATTTCCTCCCTGCCAGACCTGGAACACCCGGATGAAGTCGTGCTGGTACACCTCGTCCCAGAAGTCGATCACGTGCAGTACCCGGGCCCCTATTACGCCGCCGATGATAGCCCACATCGCAGCCGAGTAGAGCACGTCTGCCACCATGCCCTCGCGGGTCCCCCACCGGACGACCAGGAAAACGGCAGTTGCGACTGCGATGAAAGTGAACACCCCATGCCAGGACAAAACAACGCTGCCCGTGTTGATAAGGTTGGGATTGATTCCGATGGAAATACTGGCCAGGATGTCCGTTAGCATCAATTCTTCCTTGATCCGTTTATGCCCCAACCCGCCTGGTAAGCAGTTTCAGCCAATTGTCGGTACAAGGTATACCCCTGCTCCCATGGGCTGCAAGGCATCTGCGGCGCTACGATGTTCCGATTCGCTGGAGGGGATTGCAAACATGGCCGGGCCCGCCCCGCACAGGTACAGCTCCGGCCCTCCATTCTCTCGGACGGCTCGGCGCATCTCCGCCAGCATCGGGAACTCCCACTCCGCGACGTCCTGAAATACGTTGAAAACGCAGTCCCGGATGGATTCAACGAAGAATCCGCCGCCGGAAAGCAGCAGGACCAGGCGGCGGGTTATGCCTCCGTCGCTGTAGTACGCTGGGGTCAGCCGAGAGTACATCCGCCGCGTCTTGTCGCTGATGACCAGGTCGGGAAAAACCAGCGTCAGGTTGAAGGGCGGCAACTGCGGCATGGGAGATACGATTTCGCCTCGGCCTTCCGCCAGGGCGGTGCCGCCCCACAGGAAGAACGACACGTCCGAACCAATGCCCGCAGCGATTTCGGCCAGCTCTTGGTCCGTCGAGTTGGTCTCCCATAGCTCGTTGAGAGCCCGAAGAGCGGCGGCTGCGTCGCTGCTCCCTCCCCCTAGTCCCATTGCTACCGGGATGCGCTTCTGGATGTGAATGCGCGCTCTCGGCTGAATCCCCCGCGAACGAGCCAGAGCCTGCGCCGCCGTCCAAACAAGGTTCGCTTCCCCCGACAGTTCGCGGCTGTCGCAGTCCACCTGCAGCCTGGGCCAGTGACTCGATTGAAATCTTGTCAGAAAGGCCAACCGTCTGCATGACGGTCTTAACTTCGTGGTAACCGTCGGACCGTTTCCCCAGGACCTCAAAGGTCAAATTCAGCTTGGCATGGGCATCAACCTCCACCGCACTCCGCCCCCTCTCGCAATTCCACCCACGACTGGTACACCGCTGCCCACTCCTCGAGCCCCAGGGTCGCAGGGCGCCGCCGTCCGTCAATGCCGGCCCGCTCCAGTACCGCGGACCCAAGGGCTGTCCCGACCCTCAGCCCGTGGCTCAGGGAATTGTGAAGCTGCTTTCGTGGTGCTGAGAATCCGGCCCTTACGACCTCGAAAAATCCGCTGGCATCATCCACTGCGACTGCTGGTTCAGCTCTTACGTCCAGCCGCACAACGGACGAACGCACCTTGGGCGGCGGACGAAAGGCCGACGGCGGCACGGAGCACACCACCCTGGCCTCGGCGTAGAACTGGGTAGCCACAGACAGCAACCGCATGTTGCCCGGAACCGCCGTCATGCTCTCAGCCACTTCCCTCTGCACCATGAACAGGGCCAGAGTGGGAGGCTCCTCCGACTCCAGCGTACGGCGGATGATGGGATTGGCAGCGTAATACGGCAGGTTGCCGACGACTTTGTATCCCGCCGGATTTCGACCCGCCTCTCCGTATGCCAGTCCGGACAGATCGACCTCCCGGGCGTCTCCCAGCACGCACTGGAGATTCTCCGGAAATTCCAGTCGGGGGCGGCAGTTCCTCGCACAGTTGTGAGTCAAGCTCCACGGCGATAACTCGCCCCGCCTGCTGGACCAGCCGACGGGTGAGCACGCCCCGGCCGGGACCTATTTCCACAACCGTGTCTTCCGGGGACAGGTCAGCAGCGTCAATAATGCGCTGCACCACGCGGGTATCATGCAAAAAGTGCTGCCCAAGCGACTTGCGAGGCCCGAAACGACGAGCAGACGCGGTCATCGCGGACCGGATGCTGGGGGACCGTAGAAGAGATTCATCATATAAAGAGACCGCGCACCTCCGGTCGACACTGACAACCGAGCTTGTCGCGGCGGATGACTCAGGCCAGGCACTCCCACGGCGCACACAGGATCCTGTTTACCGTTGCTTCCTTTCGGACCTGGCGGGGTTCACAAGTCTGCGCCGCGTGGGACCCAGCCCTCAACGACTTCCGGTCACGATATAGGCCCAACGGGCAGGCCTCTGGGAGGAATTCAATCCCGCTGTAGCGGATTGCGGGTGCAGGGCACCGCTAGCTCCCCATCTAGTGCGGCCTCATTTCCATGGTATGTTCAGCCGCAAGTGGTGTCAATTGCGGCCCTCTTTGAAGCGGGACGATTGCGTCTTATTACTCAGCACACAAATTTGGTCTGAATGGCGGTGGAGATGGGAGTGGCAGTGCCTCCTTCGGCTGCGGGTGCGAGGGTAGACGGGGGTTTGGATTCCCGCCTGCGCGGGAATGACGACCTATAGGGCCTCCCGCGTTTAAGACGCGATTGCCCTGTTGATTCCGGGGTAATTTCCGGGGCAATTGGACCGTTCAACAGGGTTCTGAAGGCGTTCAGGTCTCGGCGGGGGCATCGGAGGAAAAGACGTTCCAGATGATGCTCCGCCTGTAGGCCATGGGCAGGAGAACCTTGATCATATCCTGCGGATCCGGCTCCTCATCTTTTTCGCATTGGCGATCGAGGTGGGCTCGCAGATAGCCAAAGGTGCTGAAGTACAGGCCCTTGCTGGCGATCTTCTGAATGAGGGAATGAGGGTCAGGGAGAGACTTCCTCTCGACGGTGGCGACTTGCCACTGCCAGCAGAACTCCTCGACCAGAGGCCGGAGCCTTACGACGGCGAGGGGCAGCGCGAGCTTGCGCTCGAGGGACTCGATGCGGCTGCTGCGGCTGCGGCTGAATGACATGGTTGCTCCTGATACCAGAGTGCAAATTTTTCGTTTTTCCCGCTCACTTCCTCTCATTTCCGCTCATTTTGGCGCTGTGGGAGGGAGCGAGGGGCGGGAGGTGGCCACGGCGAGCACGGTGCAACGGCCTAGAACTGGGGTTTAGTGCTCTTGTCAGCACCGAGAGCCTGCTCAAGGGCGCTCAGCCTGTGGCGCAATTCTTCAACTTCCTTGAACTTCAGGCCGTAGTCGAGCAGATACCGGGCGGCGCGCATGCGCAAGACCGGGTCGTCGCTCTCGACGGCGACCCTGGCGATGATGTTCAGACACTCGGGGACCAGGGCCTGCACCTGCTTCAGGGCGACGGAGTAAGCCTCTTCGCGCAGCCCGTCAAGGGCCTGGCGGAACCGGGGTTCTTCCAGCCAGCGGCGGAGCGTGGACTCGCCGACGCCGGACCTGCGAGCCGCCTCGACGATGGTGGGGGCTACGAAGACGGCGGGGAGGGCCGTCTGCTGGCGGCGGGACAGACCTGGGACATCGACGGCCCACTGGTTTTCTGTGGGCTCAGGCGGCTTTGCTGCGGTGGGATCGCCGGGGCCGGGTTCTGCGGGTTGCCATTGGACCGGGGATGCGGGGGATTTGGCGATTTTGCCGGACATCAAGCGTCAAGGGGCCTCAGTGGCCGTCCCAGATTGGCCCGGCCGCCGCTGCGGCGGGCTTAAGGGCGGGACTGTAATAATAGTACCCGCGTTCTAGTATCTTGGCAAGGGGATTGTCTGAATCAGGATTTTGGGATGCTCTTCGATTTGGCCGATCGGTTAATCCGGTTAGGCTTGATTCTGACTATATTGAATTCGAGAGGCTTTCGAATTGTTCTGCACAACCCGTGTTGCGTCGTTGTTGGGCCAACCGGGCGATGCTAGACTAGTTGTCGCGAACATTGTTGGTGGTTGTACATGCCAGTCAGAAAAGCCGTCATCCCCGCCGCCGGTCTCGGCACCCGGTTCCTCCCCGGTTACAAAGTCCGTTCCCAAGGAACTCCTCCCCATCCTGGATCGCCCCATGTTGCAGTACGTCGTGGAGGAGGCGGTCGAGGGCGGCGTGGAGGAAGTCATTATCGTCACTGCCCCCGGAAAGGAGGGCATCGCGTCCTACTTTCAGCCGTCTGCGGCATTGGAGGCTCGGCTCGCCGGGACCGGAGCCGAAGACTTGCTGGAGAAGGTGATACACGCCTCCAGCCTCGCCAGGGTCTCCTTCGTAATACAGGAAGAGGCGCTCGGCCTGGGCCACGCGGTTCTCACCGCCAGGGATGCGGTGGGCGATGAGCCGTTTGTCGTCATCCTCCCCGACGATATCGTCCATCACGCGCCTGGGGTGGTCTCACAGATGGCGGCTATATTCGATCGTAAGCAGTCGGGCGTCATAGCGGTCGAACCCATGCCTTGGGAAACGGTGCACAACTACGGCGTCGTTGACGCCACGCCCGTCGGAGACGGCCTGCACCAGATCAGGGGGCTGGTGGAAAAGCCGCCCCGCGACGAGGCGCCATCCAACCTCTCAATCGTCGGACGCTACATTTTGCCGCCAGAGATTTTTGACTGCCTAGAACGCACCCCACCGGGCGCCAAAGGGGAAATCCAGCTTACTGACGGTATGCTGCTCCTGCTGGAGGCTGCGGACCTGTACGCCTACGAGTTCCAGGGTATTCGCTACGACGGAGGCCAGCCGTTGGGTCTGCTCAGGGCCTCCCTGGAGTACGCGCTTCGCCGCGATGACACCCGCGATGCCGCTCGCGCAATGCTGAACAGCATCCAAGCCGACTGAAAGAGGACCGGAAATACCTTGAGCACGATCCAGGCCCAACAAGAAAACCTCGAATCACTACGGACTTCCCTGCTGGAACTGCTGGACGGAATGGACTACTGCCTGGACTGGAAACCAGACGAAGACAGCTGGTCCGCCCGTGAGATCGCCTATCACCTGCTCGACACACCGCCCAGTGGAATGGCAAAAGTCATTGGAGGGATAGTCTCAGGTGAGATCACCGAATACGAGATTTGGTCAGACCGTTCAAACGTAACCGAAGAGAAAGCCACTGGGGAAATGGCGGACATTGTGTCCGACATCTCCAAATTCTTCGACGCTTTCAGTTCGGGTTTGGCGCCCGCCAGCGACGCCGACTTGCAAAACCTGCGCGTGCTCATGCACCAGCGCACCCGCGGCGAGGATGTGGAGCGAACACTGGAGACCGCTCTTGCTGGCTTCGACCGGCACTGGAGAGGGCACCTGGAGCAACTGGGAGAAGTGCGCTCCGCCCTCGGGCTTTGAGCCTGAAAGGCGTTCGCTGCCGGAAGGGTTTTACAAGGCAGTCCGGGAGAGATATCGGAAGCTAGCCATCGCCACCGACCTCAAGCAGCGTGAGGAACGCCTCCTGCGGGATCTCCACCTGGCCCACCATCTTGAGGCGCTTCTTGCCCTCTTTCTGGCGCTCCAGCAGCTTGCGCTTGCGGGTGATATCGCCACCGTAGCACTTGGCCAGCACGTCCTTGCGCATGGCCCGCACGGTCTCTCGGGCAATAATCCGGCTGCCAATCGCAGCCTGGATCGGCACCTCGAAGAGCTGGCGCGGGATGGTGGTGCGTAGCTTCTCAACCACCCGCCGGCCCTGGTTCACGGCCTGGTCCCGGTGCAGGATCATCGACAGCGCCTCGACAGGCATGTGATTGACCAGCACGTCCACCTTGACCAGTGGCGCCTTGCTGTAACCAATGAATGTATAGTCCAGCGAAGCATAGCCTTGGGTGCGGGACTTCAGTTGGTTGTAGAAGTCAGCCAGCATCTCTACCAGCGGCATGGTGTATTCCATCATCACGCGGGCGTTGTCCTCTGAGGCGACGCCCTCGCTTTGGATATACTCCATGCGCTTGAACTCTGACCGGCGGGAGTGCATCAGCTCCATCAGGGCCCCCACAAAGCGGCTGGGCGCCACGATGGTCAGGTCC